TGGGGGGGGGGGGGGGGGGGGGCTCTGCCCGTGGCTTCTGATTGGCTGCTTCGCTCAGCTATAAAAGATGCCCGCCGGCTCGCGGCCCTTCTCTCGCCAGGCGTCCTTGTGTGAGGTTCGTCTGTCTCTCTGTCGTCGCATCGGCAACTGTGGTGGGAAGGATGGGGTCCTTGGTGACTTTTTTAGGGGCTCTTGGGCACTGCGGGGTCCGACCTCTTTGGTTTGGGGGCGCGGCGGCGGCTGCCGCGGCAGGTGCAGCCCCGGCTCGGGGCGGCGGGCGCCCGCGCGTGGCCTACTCCGCGTGTGCCTTGGGCTTGGAGCCCGCCGTGCCGTGGGGACGCTTGTCGGGGTGGCTTGAGCTCCTTTTCTCTCCTCAGTGACATCGTCTTTAAACCCTGCGTGGCAATCCCTGACGCACCGCCGTGATGCCCAGGGAAGACAGGGCGACCTGGAAGTCCAACTACTTCCTTAAGATCATCGTAAGTTTGGTGGTGGGGTAGGCCCCAGCCGCCCACCGTGCTGCTTCGGGCCCAGCTGCCATGTACTGAAGGCCTACTCGCTGGCTTCCACTTTAGGTCGTTTTAGGCACATTTCATTTAATTTTCACAGTTTCCCGAGATAATGCGCTTTCCCCTCCCAGTGTTGCAGATAAACAGGCTCAGGCAGGTGAAGTGGCTCCTAAGGGAAAGAGCATTCAAGCCCAAGGCTGTCGGGTCCAAATAGCACTCGTCCTGATTTTACTGCCCTGTCTCCATCTTTGAGAAGGTCTGAGGTGATGACTCATAATGGAACAAGTTGTTGCCTATTTAGAGTCTGTCAGTCAAGAAACTATGTGAGTTCTTTCATTTAGATGGCCTTGAGTTGGGTCTTCCCTGGCCAGAAGTGCTAATCACGCGGCTCTTCAAGCCTTAGGATGTGTTGTGGAGTTTAGTTCTTTGCGTTCTTCCTCATTTATCATGCAGGTTTTCAATTTAACAAACAACTTTGTAAAATGATTATATACACACAACTTAGGTCCTACAAGTTACTATTTCGTTGTACTTCCTTTATGTTGTATTTTGATTGCTGTAAATCTGATTTGGAACAGTTTTTTTTTTTCTGTTAAGGTAGTCATTTAGTGAATCAAACATGCCTCATAATAGGGGAAAGAGCAAAAGTTATAATTTTTTTTCTTTAGTTTACTGTAGAAACGGTCACCGTTTATACTCAACAAGCAAATTTTTGACAAATCTGGTGTTAACTCAGGTGGCCGATAGCAGGAGGAACTGTCCCAATCTCCATGTTATTTCAAAAGCTTAGAGGAGAGGGAGTGAGATAGAAGCTGGTGATTGCAGGATTTGCTTTCTCTTGACCTTTTCCTGTCTTTCCTCCTGTGAAACACTGCCTGTTTTTGGCTTGTTTCTGTAGCAACTTCTGGATGATTATCCAAAATGCTTCATTGTGGGAGCAGACAACGTGGGCTCCAAGCAGATGCAGCAGATC